GAGAAACTAGGAAATGAAAGGGGTAAAGAAGATTATTCTGGATTCAAAATAAGTTAAGCTCTATTAACAATGTGTTTAAGCAAATAGAAAACCACAGAAGAAAAATCTATCAGTTTGTGCCTCTAGCCCTAATGAGACTAACTATGATTCCAATCTTAAGTCTGTCCACAATGACAGCATTTTTGAAGTGTAGTATTTAGCTAAGTGGAGCAGAATTTTGGACCAATGAGATTACATGGGGGCGGGGCTATGTGTAAAATAGCGGTGCAATGTCCCTGAATTAGAAACCAAGCCATCGACAAAATATCAAATCTCTCACAGCACTACTTATGACAAAAACTCAAGATTTACATGTTACTTCATCACTTTGTACAACAGTGGTTCTCACTATTTTGACTCCAAGGTCCCCAATATCCACAACAATATTTGAAGCAGCACGATTTTTCCACTTGTTCATGATTTACTGGATAAGAATTAAGGGTAATTTTTACAAATATTTTTTACTCACAAATTCTACCTGAAATTTATGAGACTTTTTCAGGTCTAGAAATTACACTTAAAATTAGGCTACTTTATATATCCAAGTTTTTTTTCTAGACAGAAGGAACGTCTCAGGTTACTTATGTAACCATGGTTCCCTGAGTAGGGAACGAGACACTGCGTCCTTTAGGGGTCGCTATGGGGAACGCCTCGTCGTGACCCGTGTCTGAAGCATACATTGAAAAAACACCAACAACATGTTGGCCGGCGACAGCCCATGACATCACTACCGGTGCGATTATAGTATAAATAGGCGCCGTGAGAACATGTCATTCCCTTCTAAAGATAATGCTCAAAACTCACCATACGCAGAGCAGGTGGATTGGGAAGGCTCAGCCTCAGCTTCTTCGCCGTCCTCAGACATCGCCTGCTCTTACCGGGCCGAACCCAGCAGAGCACCGGCCCCCGGGTCAAACGATGTTAAAGAAATAACATCATCCTCCAGCAGCTTACTCTCGTCCACAGCCGACGAGCGCGAGAGGGAAAACCCCTTTTTAAACTCATCAGCTGGATCCACCTGCGATCCCCACGAGCCCATCCTCCTCCGTGCCTCAGCAGCGGTGGGTCCTGAGCCGCGGGAAGCAGATGGCTGCCCCCCTTTCCTCGAAAAGAGAGACAAACGAGAGCGGAGCTTTTCATTAAAATACGCTCGCAATGAACGCGGATTGCCCCCTCAAGGACATCGCGTGCGTGCTCTTTGCCCAAACAAACAACGCAGAGATCGTGTGTGTCATCAGGTGTCAAATAACGACGACGCGGATGCACACACCCTCTAAATGCTTTGCTAGTGCTCGCCATAACTATAGGAATATACATCACTCTTACCACAGAAATGCACGCTTCAAACAAAACGGTCAGTGTAGACGAAGAAGAGAATGACATGTTCTCCCGGCGCCTATTTATACTATAATCGCACCGGTAGTGATGTCATGGTCTGTCGCCGGCCAACGTGTTGTTGGTGTTTTTTCAATGTATGCTTCAGACACGGGTCACGACGAGGCGTTCCCCATAGCGACCCCTAGAGGACGCAGTTCGAAGTTCCCTTGACAGGGAACCCTGGTTCTTCAAAGAAAAAAAAAAAGTCTTAAGGGGGTGAATTAAAACAGAAAATATCTTTATTTATAGTTGTTTTTGCCCGTGGAAGTTTGCTGAGGCCCCTAGTGGGTCCTGGCCACCTGGCTGAGAAACACTGGTGTACAAGGTAAATCAGAGTCATTTACACTAATGCTCATGTCATATTATTATTAAAACATAAATATGCTTACATACAAAATTGGATGTAACTTTGAACAGACAAGGTTAGTAGGCAATTTTATCAGAGTAGACTTTTAAACTTTTTGAAATATTTTAACGTCTATCCTGCCTGTAATGCCTTGCCCTGTAGATTTCCATATATGCTTTTTATTTTTAAACACTGAGGGATGATTCAAAATTATTTTCTGTGGTATGACAGAGATAAACATGTTTTTGAACCCGGAAAATATTGTTTAGAACAAAAACGATAACCAAAACTAATATCTACGCTGAGAGCCGCCCATCCCATATGTTAATGTGTAGACTGCCAATTTGCAGCAAGCGTGCAGGTGATGACACCATATGTGAGCAAAAGGAACTGCCAAGTTTTGGACTCTTGATGAGCCAAAAGTTTCTCAGTCATTCAAGACCCTGAACGCCCTGCGTCATGTACCAAGATGTGCCACTGATTGCCTCATCTACTGCCTGCTATGGCAACTTGAGGAGTAACTCACTCCGTGTGGCGAGAGTTGATGAAGAGAGAACGTCAAGAGATCAGCGAGAGAAATATATAGAGAAAGGAAGGCTTTCGACTAATTCACATCCAGTCATACGTGAAATGAGCTTGTGATCTAACCCTTCCACCTCAGGGCTGCCGAGCAGTCTGAAGCCGGGGCCGCTTTACCCCACATGTCGGAGAAGAAATTAATAAATGGTCCTGCTGTTGCCAGTTCGGCCTTAGGCTGGTGAAGATCCAACCTAAGCTCGCTCTTTACTTCCTCCCAGATCCCTGAATAAAGCCAGAAGAGCAGCTGGATTCTTGTCATACAGGCAGGTAATGCCAAGAAACAGAGCAAGATAGAGAGGTGCTCTGGTTAATGACTACAGGGATGATGGTCCAATCATGATCTCTAAAAATCAGTTTGTGGTTTGGTGTGTTGTGTCATAACCAGGTCCAGAAACAATTTGCCAAATTTGAGCTGTAATCAAATAACTAAATTATCTGTCAACATGAATAGCTGTTCACAAAAAGAATCGACTGGAAGGTGAAAATTACCAATATGACCAATATGGAGTTTTAAAGGGGTAATATGATGCTATTTTAAAGATCATTATTTTGTGTATTTGGTGTAACAGAATATGTTGACATGCTTTAATGTTCAAAAAACACATTTTTAAAATACTGTTCTCTTTGCAACTTTACAGATCTTCTTTATGCACCAAGAGCTTGTAACACTCCAAAGAGAAAGGAAAACTTGAAATTGCATCATATGACCCATTTAATGGCTGCTGCCAAAATCTACAAATGCAGATGATGATGATAATTTATTACTAATTTGCTATAATCTGAATGTTAGTATTGTATTATTGGTAATAATTACACTAATTATATATATATATATATATATACACACACACACACACATTTACATACAAATGTATGAACTCAATTGCTCACAAGTTTATTAGCTGATGCCTAATCAAAATGGCCAAATATTAATTGTCCTGGCTGACGTATTGTTCTATCACTAGTGAAAAATGAGCGTTACATACCAGGATGAATTAAACCGAATGGGAGTTTGAAAAAAAATTATCCAATTAACATTATCCAATAGCCTGAATGACCTCAATAACATCAGCGGAAATAGAACAGTGTTTCATTGGAGTTCACATTTTGGTTAAAATTAACCAAGACATTTTTGTCTTTAAAATAACACTAAGGAATTGTTCACAATTACACCAGGAATACGAAATGGTTTTATATTGAAGGCAAGGAATGAGCGATGTGCTGAACTTTTTGAATGCTCTGTTGGCAGAGAATCCATAAGGACCTGGTAATAGCTATGAAAAACAACACAACAGATATGTTAGATCAAGCTGCACTTATGTGGCATTAACAGGTCTGACAGAGTGGCTGCATGGGCTGCTGTTGAAAATGTCTGGCACCTGCCATTGGCCCTGATCCAGGATTCGGCAGCTGGAAATGTCCACCATGTGCCATGCCCATCTCAGAGAAGCTCCCTGCAGAACGCCTTCTGACGTGAGCTGGCATAGTGCTTCTTACATACAGCCGACATGAAAGTCTTAACCTTGGCCTTCTACCAGGTTCCTTTGCCCACGCATGTACACAGCAACCGATGAACGATTTCAGAGAGAATGACAGCGATGCCCAACTCTCTACACAGCCTGCTCTATCCATAGCAGGCCTCCCAACAGCATCAGCAGCCGGATTTCAGGTGCAGTCCTTCAGACTGTGCAGTTAAACCTCCCTAATCCACACAGGGGTGATGCAAATCAAACAGCTCAAATGTCGCACTGTTCCAGGGGATTCAAAGACTCTAGCCTGAAGCCAAGCAGCATGGCTCTATCTACAGGGGAGCATCTGTTAGGCAGCTTTCCTGTCCCCTTGAACACCCGCCATCCACATCAAAACCCCCCATACCCATCCCACACACACAACTGCACACCCAGTGACCCCAACTATGGGCCATGCAGTTTGTCCCAACAAACCCTGTAAAACTGCAGAAATTAATTTCCTTAATCAGTATTTTTCTCTTGTTTTCCAGTTAAAACACCTAAACATCCTTAACTGTAAAGCAATTTTGTGCATAATAAGAGTTTTCAGATAATAGTGTGAATTTTATATATATATAAAAAAAACAAAAACAAAAATATTGTATTGTTTTCCCCCACTATTGTCACTCAATTTTGTTACAAGCACAATAAAAATAAATTTAAAAATACGTTTCCTGACTAAATGTAATAAAAATACAATAAAAAAACATTACATTTCTAATACATTACATTAAAATTCAAAAATCATTCCCTGACATTTGTTAAAAATACAATAAAATAAAAAAAAATACATTAAAAATACATTCTCTGACAAAATTTTGTTGAAATTATCCAAAAAGTACAGTAAAAGTACAAAAACTTATTCTGTGAAGACATTTTTTGACATTTTTATCTAAGACTATATTAAGCATTTTTAATTTTCCTTTATCAAGTAGCCTGTTTATCTTGGTTTATTCATGTTTGTAATATTTTGCTGGAAAAAAGACAACAATAATGAAGTATTTTTTCAGTTAAAGGAATCATGAGGACTGAAATAGAGGTTCATGAACCAACAACTTTCTTAATTTATCATTTACACATTTCTTAAGACGTCTGTATGCATTAGTGCAAAAAAAAAATAGATACATCTGATTTCAAGAGGCTAATCTCACCTTTGCACTGGCCTAAATGCTCCACAGTGATCTCCTTATCTTGTCTGCATGCGATGGTCCTCAGCTGGCATCGGTCTGCATAGGTGACCCCATCAGAACCACATACCTGTCCACAAACATGTCCATGTCTATTATTAGAAAAGAAATCTTCATCATTACAGTAGGTGTAGAATGTGGATCTGTGACTTATGCAAGCTCACCTTGGTCTTGTTTTTCTCATCACAATCTGGTGACGGGCACTCACAGTGAGCCTGTCCATTCACCTCTACACATGATGCCCCAAAGTGGCACACAAGCTCATCACAGGACTTGGGTGCCTCAGGTCCTGTAGAATAGATTGGCCTCTGGTTAATACATAACATATATTTAGCACTAAAACAAAAAGGATCTTTTGAAATTTAAGGGTTTCATTGACAAACATGTGGGAAACCAGCACCACAAAACACAATATATGCTGGTAATTTCAGTGCGGGCTACTTGTTAATCCACTTCTGATACGAACCCTGCGACCTCCACCACAGATATTCATCAGAAAGTTGAACTTGCATCAGTAGCAGAGCCGGGACCTTGCCTGCCACAGAAGTCTACTCTTTACTCTGACATCAGAGCGCTGGGCTGCACTGCCTGGCCTGCAGCATTGACTGGCTTCCTCTTCTGCACTTTCATGTGGCAGCTTTTATCTGGCAGGGACGCTGCATGAACACTTCTATGCTGGGACTGTTGAGTTCATTAAGCTCTTCACTTCCTGTCAATAGCTGACGGTGACTTCATTCTACTCACCATGCCAACACAAGGGGTGACATCAGGATAGCATTTCACTGTCACCCCTGGTGTGCATTTGAAGATTCAAATTTGAACTCCATTGATTTAATCTGATTATAGCATACAGTCGAATGTAGAACAAATTAAAACATAGTTTTACAACCATTTGTTAATGATGCCAGAATATTTAGTATAAAGTAGATAATTATTTGGATTGTTTTTTAATGGGTTTTCTACCTTTAATGTATATGATAGTATACTGTAGTATCAGCTTTTAAAAATAATTATCATAATTAATAATTCATTGAAATGAAATAAATTATTCAAATAAAATAATTATTTTATTAAGACAGATATTAAATATCTTATAAGATACTATTAGACATTTAAATAAGATTTTTATTTAAGTTATTTTCATGTAATAAAACCAACCAATAAATGGTCAATATTATATTCCATAATATTTTGTCTGAATTATATTATTATATTCTAAAACATTTTGCCTGAATAAATTACAAAAAATTAAAAAAAATAAACAAATGCCAAATGGCAAAATTATAATGTATAAAAATCGATATTTATTTTCAGACTTGCTAAATATTAAATTTAACAGTGTTATTCAATTATTAGTGTTTTAAGTGTTAACTTTCAGTGAGTGTTGAATGATGGCTAATGTAATATAAATGTGAAAAATACAGTAGACTGGGCTTTAATCATCCAAAATAATATTAATAATAGTTGGTACAGATACATTGCTAATTGCTACCTCAGACTATTTGATGCATACTGCCGGATTCAAACTCACATCCCCATGAGATCTTACCACTATGCCATGGTTCTGACATGACACTAAAAGCCTTTTTTGTCAGAACACTTTTAATTAACAAAGACTATTAATTAACCAGTGCCGTCCTTTTTATTATTTCTACATGTACCCAACATTGCGAAAAACAGACCTCATTATAATTCATAAAACCATAATCTAGCTGCATCAGAATTGCAATCCTGGAGAGACTGTCTGAGTTTTGTGCTAATTAAAATCCCGGCGTTACCTTTGTCACAGCCGTTGGCTCCCATCTTGCTGCCGTCAGGGCACATGTTGCATTTCATGCCCTTAACTCCAGGCTTACATGAGCACAGCCCTGACATCTGCTCACAATCGTCACGAACCGAACCCACTCCATCACAGTTACACGCTGATGAAGAGAGAGAGGAAGAGAGAGAGAGGGAGAGGGCTGTCAGCCTTATCTGGTTGAACAGTTTTGATTAGATTCCTTGTCTCTTTCTCTTCAATTTCACTCTGACAAAAACATCCACACATCCGCCAAATACATGCAGGCAATCTGAAGCTGCTCCAATCTGTGACCCCCACAGCTACAGCAATAGCTCTCGCTCTGTGTCAATGACTGCAGCCCGGTGGAGTTCAAAGCGGGTCAAGAAGCCCTGGGGTGAGAACAAACGTGGCTATAGAATGTGCTAATGCGCCGAGGACCCCTGGCACAGAGCACAAACTGTTTCAATCACGCTTGTTTTTCTAAACTCGTCTTTGTAGTGGCATAAAAACACACAAATGCGTGCGTCAGAGCATTATTGGTCTGTAGGCAGAACTTATAGGTCAAGCCACGTTGTACTCTTTCGCAGTTTCCATTACCAGCAGTGGCTCGGAGGCTTAACTTGAAACGCTTGTTTTGACAGAAATCGCATTTGAGGCCGGAAGGATAGCACACGTTAAACGAGTAGGTTGTCACTTCGGATTTCGGATTAGAAAGGAACATTTAACACATTTAACAGAAAATGCCCCAAAAGCAAATCACCAGGAAAGAGAGAAGAGAGGGATGCTTACGTGTGCAGCCACTCATGTTTTCTGTAACGATGCCTCGGAAGTTCCAGAATCCGGGCTCGCAGCGGTCACACTTGAGTCCTCCGACGCCGGGTTTACAGGAACACTGGCCGGTGGATGGGTCACAGGTGCCTCCGTATGAGCCGTAATGGTTACACTGACACACACCTAAAGAAGAAGAAAGGTTTTTAGTGGTACACAATCTATAATATGTACCCAACCATATTTAGCGTTGAATATTGTATATAGAGGATGTGATATTTTGGATTTATGAGATTAGATTGTGGTCGGGGTTACAAAGTGCAACAGCACATTGTCCATTTATCTGTTATTGGCCATTAAAAGAAAATAAGCGTTTAGAATCGGCCAGAATTTTAATACTGTGGTAACTAAAAGTTCATCCACTCACATTTTGGATAATTAAACATAAATATCTTGTAATATTTATTATTATGAAAATGTATGCTTATAGTTTAAAAGTTTTGTTTTGATTGGCCGCATCGTGAAGACAAAAATTAGTCAGGATCAAGCAGAAACCTCTGCCAACCTGTTGCACTGGCAGTGGATCAGATGAACGACTGCCCAGTTTCTAATGGCTAGTACACATTTATTTACTTCAGCAACTCTTCTACTAATGTTATGACATCTTATTAATATTAATAAGCCTATAACATGTCCTCTCCTCTCATGTTAGATTACTCCTATTCCTACGTTTTATCGTTTGACAGTGTTTAAGAACTCTACACACACTAAACATGTAATAATATAATGAAGTAATATTGTGAAATATTATTACAATTTAAAATTGTAATAATTGTTTTTTATTGTAATGTATTATAAATGTCATAAATCAAACTCAGCTGCACGCCACTGAACTAGTCGATAGAAGAGGTTTCATGATGGTTATACGTACTAGGACACCCAGCTAGTCCAACACCCAGGGCAGCGGTCTTGCTGTCTTGGCAACATCCATAAACAGTTTCGCTACAGTGCTGGGAGGCGATGAGCTCTGGAGGAGCTGATATGATAGCTAGAGAGAAGATACAGAGCAAACAGGAGTGGGTGGGGGAGAGAGAGAGACATATTGAGATCCACAGCGTTCTTAAGACAAATTAAACTAAACAATCCAAGCTGAAATGCAATTTAGTACAACACAATAAGAATCGCTTAAGGAGCAGAGGTGGGAGAGCCTGCATCTGGCTGCCAGATAACAATTCTATTTACTATTCCTGACACCAATTCAAAATCAGGAAAAAATGATGCTATTACCAGCCATGAAAACAAACAATAGACCTCTCGTCGAATGTCTGGAGGGTGACATTTGACACATTCTCAGGGGCCTGTTCTCTCCATTTGTTCTCGTCTCAGATAGCGCCGTTTACACCTATGCCGCAATGTCAAACAAAGATTTATGGACTCTGGGTTTATGGACACAAATGCACAAGAGCGCAAATCAGGACGTGCTGATGTCAGTCCACTCTCGCTCTAACCTAATTACACTATTTTAGCGCTCCCGGCTCACATACGGAGGACGTTTGTTGTGGTGTTTAACTATAACATTGTGCCGGAGGCAGATGGCAGGTGCCTATTTGTCTGTGTTGTCATTTTTTCCCCAGTCTTTCCACACTTGTTCTTTTCGAGTGCTTCTTCTCTAGGCGATTGAACTGAATGGCTGTGAGGTGGCAGGTTTGTGGTTTCGAGTTCGGAGCTAGGAGGACTAGGCTGTCGTAAATCAGGGAGCCGTCGGCATGAGCGGACACGTCCCGGGGTATAACAGTGATGTGTCACCGTGCCTTTCATAGCATTTTGTGGCTCCAGAGATGGGTTTTGTCCACACCTCATTAAACTTCTCCTCTCCACACTGAGTCCATTATGACAAAGGTGCTTTTAATTAGATCCTTTCTTCTTGTCTCACTGCGATTCTTCACCATCCTCTTTCTACACTAGTTTGTTCTACAACACAATCCTTTCTGACACCAACAAGGTGCTGCTAAAAGTGAGACCGATCAGCTTTGATGTTTATTTTTACTGAAGTATCGTAGATTATTGGTGATGGTAATGGCATAGACGGAGTGAAGATCGCCTACCAAACTGTGGGAACATATCACAATGTCAATAATTCCTACAGAAAATGTCATGTTTGTTTCTCCATACTAAATTGAAATCACCACACCCCATTATATTGAAATGGAGACTGAAAAGGAACGTCTGAATATTAGGGCTGGATGATATATTGAATATATATCATATATTTTCATGCTTTTGATGCTGATTTAAACCATTTAATTAGTTACGATAAATACTTGTCTTAGAACTTATGAGGATGAAAAAATTCTTTAAATCTTCAATTACTTAACTCAATGGTTTGTTACAGTTAACTAAACCTAAAACTATTAAAAACCATTTGTGGTAATTGGAAAAAAAGCTACATAAAATATAAATATTAGATGAAAAATGTACTAAAACTAAAGACTAAAAACTAAAACTCAAATAAAAAATAGATAATAAGATAAAGATAAAAAATAATGACATAAAAGAACATTAGAATTACTAAAAGTGGAAGAAGAATTACTAAAAAAAAAAATTTAATTAAAAGGAAAACTGAAAATATAAAAATAAAAGCTAATTCAAAATATTGATAAACACTATAATAGTAAATAAATAATATTCAAATAATACTAGTTGTTTTGAGTATTCAATCAAAATGGTAAATGTTAATATGAAATTAAATAATATTATATATCAAATCACACACATACATTAAATATCTATATCTAAATAAATATTACTAGATTTTACTGGGTTTTCAATTTTACATTAAAACATTTTCAAACTAATCGGGCACAAAGGCTGTATGGTGGTCACAAAATAAAGTACATAAATATTGAAATACATAAAAACGGCAAAAGTATAAATATTATAAATATCTATTTTAGTAGCTTTATCACCCAGCCCAGCACAGTCTTGTATCTCCTCTGAGTAGCTTTATCACCCAGCCAAGCAGTCTTGTATCTCCTCTGAGTAGCTTTATCACCCAGCCCAGCACAGTCTTGTATCACCTCTGAGTAGCTTTATCACCCAGCCCAGCACAGTCTTGTATCTCCTCTGAGCGTCACAATCAGCCAACAAATTGTGAGAGGCAGCTTACAGCATCCTCTGATCCTCACTGCAAGGAGACTCAGTGCAAGGTTGTCTAGAGGTCACCGAGACCTAATTTCCAATTAGCAAAAAGCAGCAAGGTGCTCTGGAGGCCCGTCAGCTCTCAAAGGCAAGGGTCAGAAATCGGGGGAGGAGAGATTGCAGCTTGCATATCAAATGCAAGGCCCGATGAGATTTCAATTGATCTGAGCTGAGTCAATGGGAAGCAGCTGCCAAAAGCTCCTCACACCGGTTGAAAGTTCTCCAAAAGGATTTATTTTCCACGGCCACTGAAGGAGCATGACTGATCTGGCTAGAGGGCCTGTGAGGCTCTGAAGCAGAAAACTCAAGAGTTCAAGAAAACCATAGATAAAGGATGAGGGGTGCAGAGAGTGAGCGAGGGAGAGAGAGCAGAAAGAAGAGAGCGCGCATGTGCGCATGCAAGTGGAGTCAAGCTAGGCTTGAAGCCTGTGGGAATCTCACATTGCTCTGATC